GTATGTGTGGCCTTATAAACTGCACACAGAGTATTGATTTAGAACCCTACCTACATTGTCTGGCTCCATGCATAAATTACCACTGTAGCCCTTAATGGGCCCTACTCTTTCCCTAGTTATCCTTTTATCCTTAATGTAACTGTAAAATACGTTGGGATTTTCCTTTACCTTACTTTACAAGGGGAAGCAATGGCCTAGTGGTATTAGACCCAGGTAATTTTTTAGGGACTTGAGTTTGAATCCTGCCCTGGCAGATGGTGGAATTTGAATTCAATAAATACCTGAAATTAAGAGTCTAATGATGACCATGAATCCAATTGTTGAAAAAAACCACTTTTTCACTAATGTCCTTTAGGGAAGGAAACTATGCCATCCTTACCTGATCCGGCCTACACATGACACCAGAGCAATGTGGTTGACTCATAGCTGCCCTCTGGGCAATAAATGTTTGCTTAGTCAGTGACACCCTCATCCTGTGAATGAATAAAATAAAACTTGCCATTATCCTTGCTTTGCTCTCCTGATTTCTTTTTTAAGTTTCCCCTTGCACATTCTATACTCCTCTAGGGGTTCTGCTGTTTTGACCCCTCAGTATCTGCCGTCAGCTGTCCTTTTTCTCTTTATCCAATCCTGTAAATCCCTGGTATCCAGGGCTAGCTGGATTCATTGGTCCCACCCTTTGTTTTTATTCAAACGTGTAGGCCCTATACTCTCGCTATTTCTTTCTTGAATGTATCCTACTGCTCTGACACTGAATCACCTAAAAGTATCGGCTCCCAGCCCACTCTGGCCAAATCATATTTGATCTTATTAAAATCAGCCATCCCCCAGTTTCAAACTTTGATTTATGGCTTATTCTTGTCTTTTTCCATAAAAACATTGATTTCAATGAAGTCTGATCACTGTCTTCAAAATGCTCTCCCACTGATATTTCAACTACTTGCTTGGTTTCATTACCTAAAATTAAGTCCAGGACTGCACCCTCGCTTGTGGACCCTTCTATGTACTGGCTTTAAAAGCTCTCCTGAATTCATTTTAAGAATTTGCTTTCATCAATTCTTTCACACTAGGACTACCTGAGTAAATGTTGGGGAAGTTGAAATCCCCATTTTCACTATGCAACATTTTGACATGTCCACTAGGAACTTTGCCCAAACACATATTACCGAAGCCCAAAACAGGAAAATATGAAAAGATTTCTGAAGAAGGGTCCTGAATCAAAATGTCAACTTTCTTGCTCCTCTGATGCTGCCTGGCCTGCTGTGCTTCTCCATCTCCATACTGTGTTATCTCTGACTCCAGCATCTGCAGTTCTTGCTATCTCTGAGTGAGTTATAACCGACTGTGAAGCCTCCTCCAAGGATGCCTACCTTGAAGAAGTTGTCCTTCTCCCTCTGGAAAGATCTCAGTGGATCTCTGTCCCACTGCACCCCTCTGGTAATCTCTTCGGTCCTGAAAATCTTCGACCACATACTCAAGCAAATCCGTTACTACAGCCACATCTCCTTTCTCAGTACCTGCCTACGGCACTGGATCATCCCCAATGGACTCCAAACTAAATTCAGGCCATCCCAATTTGGCCCTAACCATGACAACCTCTACCTACAAAACATCCAGAGCCTCCAAAAACAGTTTTCTCTATGGATCCTCAAGTACACACTCTCAGCAATGCGCTGGCATTTTTTGGCACTACATTCAACCTTACCCCAGCTCAGAACCTCCCTCTCCCAGACCTGCAAAGAACCTCTTCTGTTTTTCATTCTGTGCAGGATCCACAATCTCAATGAATGCTCATGTCTGAAGAAGGGTCTCGACCCGAAAAATCAACTTTCCTGCTCCTCTGATGCTGCTTGGCCTGCTGTGCTTCTCCTGCTCCACACTGTGTTATCTCTGACTGCAGCATCTACAGTTCTTGCTATCTCTCAGTACAAAAAGATGTGCCTGCTTTTTAATTCAGTGATTTAGTGGGAGCTAGCGGCTAAATAGTGGCTAAATCACTGAACTAAAATTTTGCCTGAATACTGAAGTGTACTTAGGTCTAGAGATAAAGAACTGCATCAAAACTGCTAAGAGCTTTCAGAGGCATAGCAGGAACAATGTAAATCACCCCTAAAATATAGTTATCCAGGGAAGTGTAAATGTGTTAATGCCTCAATTATATAATTGCAACTTTAGAGATTTCTTTTTCAATTATGCTACTAAGGTCATAAGATATAGGAGCAGCAGTAGGTTACTTGGCCCATCAAGTCTGCTACACCTAGCCAAAGCATCAAGGGACTCCCTCAGTTCTACTTTCAAATGTAAATGTTCAAACTATTCTGGAGTGCGAGCAATTACAAAATAATATAGAAATATCAGAACAAAATAATCACTCCTTATCTGTTAAACACATCAATATAGAATTTGCATGTAAAATGTATGTCAACATGGTTGTCATACAATGAAGCAATATTGCTCATCCATTACTGGTCTAAGATGATGCTTGCAATGGGTCTTCTTGAAATGCAGCAACTCTTGTGGTGATGGTGTTCTCACAATGGTATTAGAGAAGAATTCCAAGACATTAAAATTTAAGCCCAAGGCATGATGTAATATGACTTTGGGGGTGTTCCCATCACATTTTTATTGTAATGATAGAAGTTTCAGGGTGATTAAATGCTATTGTTAATAATTCTGTTGGATTGCTATACTTTTTCCTATAGATTATACAAACTGCAACCAGAAATGGAAGGAATAAATATTGAATCTGATGATAATGGTGCCAATCAAACAAGCAGCTCTGAATTTTGATTTTGAATTTCCTGATTTTGTTATCATCTGTCAAACTTTTGACATTTTTTCTCTCAAAGGCTTGTGAGTCTTTGGAATTCACTTCCTCAAAAGGCAGTGGATCTTTAAATATTTTAAGGCAGAGGTAAATAGATTTTTTATTACCAAGGGAATGAAATATTATCAGGGATACTCAAGAATGTCATGTGAGCTTAAAATCAGATCAGCTCTGATCTGATTGAATGGTGGAGCAGGCTTGAAGGCTGAGTAACCTACTCTTGTTTCTTGTTCACATAGCCTTTTAAGTATTGAATAACTTTGAGAGATCAGGTGTTGAGCCATACATCACTGAATACGCAGCCTCTGCCTTGCCTTCTCAGACATGGTAAGAATGTGGCTGACCCAGTTAAGTTTCTGATCAGTAGTGATATGCAAGATGTTTGTTAACAGTAGGGAACAGCCCAATTGTGATATAATCAAAGTTCAAGGAGAAATGTCTTTTTTTTTCTTGTTCAAGTGCTCTACTGAACAGGTTGCTCTGGGGGAAATGAGCTCTCGAGCACACTAGCCAGGCTGCATATCACGCAGTAAATAAATTAAATTGGTTAAACATCCAGAGCAGGTAGAACTTGAATCCAAGCCTCCTGGATCAGATGGCAGGACGTTACCACTATGCCACAAGAGCAAGGTCCACGGCCTTTATTCTCTACAGTACAGTTAATGTAACATGAAATTAATCAAATTGGCTGAACACTGATATTTACAAGTTTGGAAACTTCAGGAAAAGGCAGACTAAGATCATGACTTTTAGATAAAAACATTTTTGAATAATTCAACCTCTGATTGGAGTTGATCATATTTTAAGAATCTTATTCTATATGTCCGTTTTGTAACAATTATTTACAACTAGGGAATTCAGAGTCAACACTTTGTATGGGATTGATATCACTTGTAAGACAGACTTGGTCAATAAATTACCAGTTAATGATGCCAATCACCAGCTACAGCAGGACATAGGTAGGTTAGTAGAATGGGCAGACAAGTGGCAGGTGGAATTTAATGCAGAGAATTGTGATGTATATTGTGCAAGGGATAGGAAAAGGCAATATAGACTAATGACATAGTTGCAAAATGTGTACAGAAATTGAGGGAGGGGGCAATGCATGTGCATTGATCTTTAAAGTTGGCTGGACATATTGAGAGAGGAGAGCAAAGTATATAGGATTTTGGGCTTTGAAAATAGAGGCATTGAATAAGAAAAGCAGTGAAGCTACGTTGAACTTTTATAATGCTCTGCTATGCCCCAAATGGAGTATTGCATCCAGTTTGATCACTGCATATTAGGCAGGCTGTGGAGCTCTTTCAGAAGATGTGGAGGGAATTTTCCAGAATGATTTCAGGGATGGGTGTGAGGGGGCTGTTATTTACAAGGTTGGGTTGTAAAAGCGAGGATTGTTCTCCCTGGAGCAAGAATTTGAGGGAAGGTTTGACAGAAGTGCATAAGATTATGACAAGTTTGGATAAAGAAAGATTGATCTCAGTACAAGGAGGGACACAGATTTCGGGCTTTGGGCAATAAATGGATAGGGGAGATCTGAAGAGGAACTTATTTTCCACAATGAGAGGTAATAACCTGCAAGTCACTGCTTCTGAGGGTAGTAGAAGCAGAAACAGTGCAACACTTCAAAGAGAAATTGGTAGACACTGGAAGGCAACAAATGCTATGGGGGTCGCCTGGGGCTTACTGTATTGCCTGCTCTGTGGGGAACTGGCATGGTCTCAATGGACCGAATGGCCTTTCCGTGTGCTGTAAATGACTCCATAACTGAATGATATTTACATCCGACTTCACAATCTCCACGGTGGGATTTTAAACCACTGTCTCAGGGTTTGATCGGCTGTAGGCAATAAGCTATTGCCAGATGTAATTAAAAATCAGAGACAAAAATAAAATCGCTCGGAGACCGGGGAAATGGTCTAGTGGTTGTGGGTGTTCAGAGATCCCCTGCAATTTATCCACTCCCCTCAACGCTGCGTTCCTGTATGGAAAAAAAAAATCGTCAATAACGCAGAAAGAAAAGATGTTGTGCGGACCTGAAATAGTTGTCATTGCAGAGCGGTGAGATATGCGGCGGACTGAAAGGAAAATTCCTTGTCGGAGGTGATGGCACCTGTTGGAGCTGCGCTGTGGAATGCGGATGGTGTGTGCGCTGTTGCCGTGGTGACTGCGGATTCGGTGGGGTTGGGCTGGAGAGCAAGAGACTGCGAAGCGTGCCCCATTCCGCACTGAGCGCGATGAGGAGCGAGGCAGCGCTTTGGCAATGAGAAAGTCAGGGCCCGGAGAGACCATCAGCAAACTTCTGAGAAGGAAAAGTTCTCCCTCGCTTTATGCGGCGACCCCTCCGCCAGGCCGGGCGATCGCTGGCGCCGGGGGACCGGGGCCACCGGGTGAGTGTTTGCGGGAGGCGAGAGGGAGAGGGGGAGAGAGAGAGCAGCCGCACAGTCCCGGCAGGTAAAGCAGGATTCTGCAAAGCCTCAGGATTTCCCTGCTCGGTGCTTGAAGGGTAAACTTAGCCCCAGGATCATCGGATCTGTGGGAAGGGGGAATTGCTAAATCACTTGGGTTTGTTCAATATCTGGTTGCTGTGAAAGTCTAAAGAAATGGGGAAGGGGGGGGAGGTGGTGGAGTTGGTGTTGGTGTGAATGCGTGATGCCTTTAAAAATAAATGGTGAAGATTGCAGTGTGTGCAGTACCGTACTTTTGTCACTGGGTTTTGAGCTCTCCCGCAGGATGAAGTGCGCCCTCACTGCAAATCCTACAGGCTGCTAAGTGCAATGCGTTGGGCCAGTCTCAAATGCCCAATCGATGTGGTCCCACGACATAGGATTAACCAAATGTTTTGCAACTGATTAGCAGCGTGGAGCACACCAACTCTGGGTACAAGATGGATGACATCTTTGATCTCAATTTGACGTTAGGTTCACAGTATATTATGCATGTAAATACTGTTACACTGTAGGGGGGATCAGAGGTCCTCCAATTTCCTTGATTTAAAAACCACAGTCCTGTTTCGAAAAGGGAGTGGGTGCTGATGATCGTTAATGACCTGATCAACACCTATCCCTCAAATCAACATGACAAAAACAAACTGCTTATTGACACATTACTATTAGCGGGAGCTTGCTGTGTGCAAATTAACTGTTGTGTTTCCCACATGACAACACTTCAAAGATAATTCATTGGATGTAAAGCATTTTGAGGGATCCAGAGTCATGAAAAGTACTATATTATTGCAGGTCTTATTTTCTATTAAATTAATAACTTAACGAAAAAAGTTCTGCTTTATTTAATTCTATGTTTTTCATCAATGCAGACATGGTAGAAAATGTGTTGTTGGTGTCTATTTCCTTGGCATTGTCCTGTTGAGCTGAATGGCCTGCTTATATGATGCAAATGCCATGGACATGTTATTGTGTTGTAGTATGATTGGGTATGGTTAGAAGCCATCAGTGACTATTTTAAGTGTGTGAAATTTAGCAACACCCTGCCCATTTACAACATGTGTTGGTGGATTGATGTGGGTGGTCAGATCCAGAACATTGTTGAGTTTGATCAGTTCAGAGTTTTGAAAGTTCAGCAGATTTAATGTGAAAATAGAATTTGAATTAAATTGAACTTACTTGTCAATGCAGACAAAACACATCAGAGAGCCACCTAGTTAATGTGAATATATATAAATTTCATATTAACACAATAAAAAAAGCATGTTTTGGGGGCTAGGTAGTGAGCACAGTACATTCTGTCTGGCCTCAATTATCAAGAGAAATTTAAAATCTCAACCACAAATGGTCTCAGATCACTTCTGTGACTGGACTCATGGAAAGGATATTCTGAATTATGTCATCGGCTCCAATTTGTAGACTCCTTGCCGACTTCCTGAAATTTGACAAGGGAATTTTGTAATTAAAATCAAAGACAGTTTAATAAAAACAAATGACTGGAAGCCAGGGAAATTACTTCATGGTTGTAGATATTCAGAGAGTCCCTCCAAGTTAATTTAGTGTGCAGTGAGGACTTGGGTTCCTGTAAACAACGTTCATGTAAGCTTTATTAGAAAATGCAACAGGCCTATTCCAAAGAATGTAGGGTACAACATTTAACATAATTACCAAATTATACATGTTAAGCTGTCAGAAAAAAAAATGTAGACCATAAACAAATAAAATTCTGGACTTCACAGACCAGATGGTGAATGTGTAAATGCAAAAAAAATGTTCAGATGTGTTCCCATTCTTCAAATGTACCACATCACAACTCAAAAGTTGACAGACAAGACTTTATTCACATTTCAGCAAAGGGTAATCAACTATTGAAGCAGCAATGTACTTAAAACATGTGAAATTTAAATATATCCTCACAAGCCAAATAGTAAATGTTGAAATATTCAGGTGATCATATATTTCACTAGGTCACATTAAGCATTAAAATATTTCGGGTGCCAAAGACTTATTTCTGATTATTTTTTAACACATTCTCTCCAGAAAGCAGCCTGTATTTTTTTTTGTATTCATTCAGAACATCTATTTTATGCAATATTCATCTTGGCTTATTCCACATTTATTAATTGTGCAAACATTATATTCTGCCTATTTACCATTTTAAAAAATAACGCTCCCTGCAAATGAAATTTCCAACGTTCTGAAAACTCCACCTGGTTCACCATTGTCAGTTCCATTCATAATTTTTTCCTAGAGAAACCAAACTTCCAGAACTCATTTCCTCAAATTCTTGACACTCAAAATAATATTTATTTGCTGACAAACAAGAGATGCTCACAAACAAGAGAAAGAGAATAGGAGTATGATGAAAAGTGGAATGCACTATTACAAGGCAGACTTGAAGCAGGCTGCATAAATGTGTTCAAGGGGAGGCTAGATAAACACAAGATGGAGAAAGGAATAGAAAGGGTATTTGGATATGGCTAAATGAGGAGGGACAGAAGGAGGTGATGATGTAACAGCAATGTCACTGGAAGCGTAATCCAGAACCCCTAGGCAAATGGGCTCAAATCCCACAAACACAGCTGGTAGAATTTAAACTAAATTAATAAAATGCAGGATTGAGTCTCAGTATTGGTGACTGTGAGATTATCATTGTTTTTTATAAAAACCTATCTGTTGCATTACTGTCCTTCAGGGAAAGCAATCTGCCATCCTTACCTGGTCTGGCCTTTGTGAGACTCCAGATCCACAGCAATACGTTTGACCCTTAACTACCTTTGGAAATTCCTGAGCAAACCATTCTGTTCAAGTGACAATTAGGAACAGGCAAGCAATGGTGAATTTGCCAGGGAATGCCCATTTTCCAGGAGTTAAAGTAAAAGGCATTCTGTGAAACATAGACACCATCAAAGACCAATAAAATCAAATATCCTGTTTCTAGATTTTAGATGCAATGTATTTCTTGATCACATCTTAATTCGCTAAAGGCAAATATGATCCTTCCTATAATGTGTTGACTAGAACTACACCCAGCGCTCCAGAAGCACTCTGGCCAATGTATTATGCAACTACATAACAGCCTCTTCATTTGTACTTTATACCTCTGCCAATTCAATCTAATAATTTATTTCCCTTTTCTATAGTCAAATGGGTATATTACATCTGTCTTTGCTATTCAGGTTGCCTAGGAGATATACATTACAATGAACAAGCTATGCTCCAAGCCACGTCAGATTCTAAAATATTAAATATCAATTCCTGTGTTCTTAATTGTTTATATTTTGCTTCCTCCTCAGCCATTTATGTCACAAAACAGTACATCGACTGCACATCTATGTCTGTTCATACTTTTCAAAACAAAACTGTAAAGCAGCCAAATCAGTTACTTGGCACCCACAGGGAAAAAAACTCCCACAGCAACTTAAAATACCTTGGTGATGCAAGAATCCAAATGTCTGTAACTTGCATTGGTGGAACGAGAAAGCCAGTTATTTATCCTGGATTATCACCTACACAACCTGAAAACTAATTAAATTCTAATAGACCAAATCCTATATGTACTTAAACTATAAAACACTATAGTCTTAAGGGGTAGTAGGAACTACAGATGCTGGAGAATCTGAGATAACAAGGTGTAGAGCTGGATGAACATAGCAGGCCAAGCAGCATCACAGGAGCAGGAAGGCTGACGTTTCGGGCCTAGACCATCTAACTAGGCCACAAGCATCTTCAACCTCATGTGCACCTTCTCCCCAGTGATCAGAACCATATAATCGCACTCTTTGAC